CTCCACCTGCAATAGAAGATTATAACACAAGTTAGTCTTGTCCAATAAGCATGGTTAATATAAGAAAGACGAACTCTATCTCAATGCTGCTAAATTAGAAATGATCACGAGTAAGACAAATCATATATAGGGTGCTCGTTGAGATAAATTCTTACCTCACTTACTGCAGCACCGTAGTTCAAGTATTCAGCAGAACTGGATTCAGGCACAAAGTAAGAATTTGCTGCCATATTTACGTTTTGATTATACGCCTGCATCCCAAAGTAAATCGTTTGATGAGAAAATTCAGTTTATACAAAAATAAGAATCTACCAACAAATAGGTAGGGAAAAAAAAAAAACCTGGAGAATCAGGTCATCCCATGTCACAGAACCCATTTCCTCATTCAGCACCTCCTTAACTACGGCCAATCTCTCGACCAAGACATTACAGCACAGCCTAACAGCCTCACAACTCGACTCAGAAGACGTGCTGCCAGCCGTATACCCTCCCTGCACCAGACTCAAAGTATCGGCCTGCACAACTCGAATTTTCTCAACCAAATTCTCAAACCCAATCCTACCAAGGGCATACGCCGCCACCTGTCGAACCTTCGTCCACAGCCCCTGCCCCATTTCTATTCCCCCAACCTCCACAACTACAGACCCATCCGAAAGTATGCTGACTTTCCCTGGGAAAGCCCTCACTAACACACGGTGCACAATCGGGACACGAGATATGCCCCTCTTACACCAAATGTGGGCCCGGTTAAACTGCTCGACATTCCTCACCCTCTGCTCAAACCCAGATGACCTTCCCACCTTCTCCCAAATCAAAGGCAGAGTGTACTCGAATAATTCCCCGCTAGAGTCTCCGTAAAACAGCTTTAGGCTCTCGTATGTATGGAGATTCTTATTCCTCACGTAATCGGCCTCAAAATCGAGAAACGAAGCCACATGTTCGACTATTGCCTCGGCTATGAAAGATCCCTGAACGTCTCCAGGGCCTCGCACGGCGGATCTGCTCACGAGGTTCGTCTTGCACAGTTTGATGTCAAAGGAAAGTGAGCCCCAGTTGTACTTCATGAGGGTCCCCACCACGTTGTTCGGGATCATGGGGCTTACGTCTTGGGTTATGCCGGCATCGATGAGGATGTCCAGGTGTAAGGCTGTGATCTTGCCATCAGATTTGAATCCAACGGTATAGTTTATCTTCATTGGGTGCCTGCCACCCGCGATTATCATGTCGGTTTTCCGGTCCATGTACATTCTGACCGGCCGGCGTAGTTTGTGAGCAGCGAGAGCACATACAGTGGCCATCTGGAAATTTTAAGAAAATATGTTATATCATAGTAAATTTATATGACATTTCCTCATTAAGGCAAGAAAACTGTGATGTCGATGAATACTCACAGGGATTGCTTTCGTTGCCTTCCCGCCAAAGCCTCCACCAAGTCTTCTTGTAAGGACACGGACATTATGATCGGGAACACCTAGACAACTTGAAATCACTCGCTGAACATACTCGGGGTTCTGATTCGAACTGTAGACGACCATGCAGTTGTCTTCATCTGGGATCGCGAGGGCAGTTTGCGTCTCCATGTAAAAGTAGTATTGTGAACTAAGTCTTAGCTGTACATGCCAATTTGTAATGACTTAGGAAAAATAAAAGGATGAAAGTCTCTTTGTACAAGTGCTTAAACTTGTAAATAACAATTAAAGCAATTTATTCGATAGACTGGACATCAAATAGGAACATAATATAAAAGTTTTGAAGATGTAATAAAAGCCTTGTGTAATGGATAAAGTTCTTTTTAGTGATTAGTGATTAGTGAAATTGTTCGAACTTCAAAGGTCTGACCAACCAACATGTACAAAGTGAATAAAAGAGCTACAGATTAATAAAATCACCTCAGCTGAGAGAATCTTGTGATCGGCTTCAGCCATTCCTTTCGAGAAATCACCAACTTCTTGAGGACGTATATAAGAAGGAACATCAATGAAACTCGATCGCTCAACAGCCTCTTCGACTGTTAAAATAGGTGGATCTAAGCCTTCCATATCATAATCAATTACAGCAGATTCTGCTGCCAAATTTGCTTTCCTTTGTGTCTCTGCAACCTAGAGAAGATGTCCAAGATACAATTTCCTTATATAATTCAACATTTTTCTACGAGAATTTTGAGTCTACATGCAGTTAGCAGATTAGAAAATGGAAATTACCACAAAAGCAATGAGATCACCAGCAAACCGAGTAACATCGTCAGCAAACAAAGGTTCGCTACCAAACATGGCCATACTCCCTACATTTTCCCCTTCTTTTGGGATGTCTTTGACAGAGATAACAGCAAAAGCTTCCGCTTGTTGAGGGTGAGACTTGAAAGAAATGCCTTTCACCCGAGCCACAGGCTTAGTGCTATATATATATGCTCCATGCAAACATTTTGGGGGTGAAGGAATGTCATCTACGAAAACAGCTTCACCTGTAGATTGCTCGGACCATAAGTAGAGTATAAACAAAAATGTTCTTCTGTCTTACAAATTGCCGATTTTATACATACGTGGACTTCAGCTTGATTATAGAAAGCAGATAGCCAGACCCTTTTACTTCCGTTATCATGTGAAAATTTATTAGATACAAACACACGAATAATTTATTCGAAAGAGATTTAACTTTGTCATAAAATATACATGAAAACAAATTTTTGAATTTTTCTTTCATCAGAAACTTGATCAACTCGTCGAAATTCCTTGCAACGCCATTAGTGATTTAAAAAGTAAGCATTTGGAGTAAAGGAGCTATTATAGAAAACTTAAAAGAGAGTATAACTAACCAGAAGCTTGCATGGCAGCACCGACTTTGGGCATAGGTGCACCCACCGGAAGATAGTCTTTACTATATTCCACAATCTGTTTTGATGATGACAAGATCGGGGGTTCTTCTATTAGACTAATTTTGTTCTCATTGCTGCTTTTAACAGCTCCCTCTAACAATAATCTGTTCAAATCCTTGGACGCACCTTCGGATAATGCAGAACCCATACTGGAAAAGCTACTAAGAAAATCAAAGAGAAAAGCGACTGCTAAGCTTGACCTGTAAGCAGCATGTGGAGTCCCTTCTTTAGGCACTACATCACTTTTCACCAGCCTGATTGCTTCATACAAAACTCTTATATTAAGGACTTTCCCAGTTAAATATTCCTCTACATTTACTGCCCTTGTTGCATGGTCCGTTCCATAAGCACCAAAAGCCAGCTGAATTTTGTTTATAACAATCCCATTTGTACTGTAACTGATATCAGCTAAAAAAGCTGCATTTAGATAGGCCAGCGCATTCCCAAGAGGCCGTGGTGCGGCTCGGTAGGTTTCGAAAAACAATCTTGAGCTAGTTTTAGTCGAATCATCGCTCGTTTTTGGTCCTAGGAAAGGAATGTGAACACTTAAGAGCAGTGCTTTTGGATCTAAAGGCGGTCTATTCAAGAATTCCTCGATTTTGATTTTTTCATGTTTATGACCTGCCAACAGGCTCACACTAGAACCAACAGCCAACAGTAGAGTAGCAGCATCTGAAGGGAAACCCTTCCTCTGTGCAATAATGATATTGCCACCAATGCTAGCCGAGTTCCTGATAAATTTAGAAGCAAGCCTTTCTAAATGGTTAGCAATTTTGGTGAACACCATATCTCCACTGGAACCTAAGCTCGCTTCGTTTTTCTCTTTCAGATGAAATATCACTTTGGCAATTGTCACAGCCGCTCCAAACTCAATACCAGAGTCGTCCTTTCTAACTATCGAGAGCTCAGGAATATACCTCAGATCGATATATTTTCCATATTTTTTTGTATCTCTGTAATACCCGGTTGCTGTGTTGCCAACAACTAATTTGATCTTTGTCCTGTTTTCAACCATATCATAATTCAACAGCTTTTGAAGCTCCTCGACTGTTACAGGGCTGTACCACGAAAGTTTCTCATTATTCAAAAGGCCCGTCGACTTGAACCCATCTCCCAATTCTGAATCCTTTGGACTGTATGATGGTAATTTACTAATCATGACTTGTTCCGAATCTCCCTTTTTCCAGAAAGAGTTAAGCCCCAAATCCTCCAAGTCAACATTTGCTGCAAAACTCTTGCAGGCATCAGCAATGGGCCGGTAACCGGTACACCTACAGAGATTTCCCAAAATAGCCCTTTCAGCTTCTGAAGTTGTGAGCCTGGAAAACCCCTTGGACGGTTGTGGCCGATCTTTTGCCTTTTCTGCATTGGCAAGCGCGGACAAAAAGGACATGCACATTCCGGGACTGCAAAACCCACATTGCGAAGCATGGAAGCCTGCGAACCTTTTATGGATCGGGTGAAACCCGTCTTTAGTGTTTCCGAGGCCTTCGGATGTTGTAATTGAGCAGCCATTAATGCTGCATAAAAGCGTAAGACATGAATTCACGTTGAAACTCTCGACCTGCTTGAGTTCGGTGTTGTACTTTGACAGCACAACAACACAAGCCCCGCAACCGCCTGTATAAAGGTTGAACTTTGTCAATACAATATAGAAAGAATATAATCTCTAGAAACATCAAAACCATATAAAAACTGCGCTACAATCTCTAGAAAAAAAACATGACCAAAACAAACAAATAACACACCTTTTCCCATCTCAGAGCAAAACACGCCGACACACACCGACAAATTTATCATTTTTCCAAGAAAAATAGGAGAGTGCATAACACTCATGGATCTAAATCTCACATGAACACATCAAGAACAAACAACTAAACCATAACGACCAAGCCCATGGCAAATAGTTCATGTAAGAACTAAAATCCGACTGATATAGCCATCAAAAGACAACACAGATATGTGAACCTCAAACACATACAAAGCTACCAAAAGAAAAACAAACCCATCACAGTACACACATACACAGCACACACATACACATACCTTGACCGCAGCCGAGCTTGACACTCTTGAAACGGGTCATCGTGCGCAAGAACTCGAGCAAGGTGGTCGAGGGGTCAATCTCGTGTATCTCGAATCTCTCCTTGTTGACCTCGAAAACCAGACAGCCATCTCCGGCTAAGGGCAGCGCCACCTCCATTTCTGCTAAAAAAAAAAAACTCAGACTTTGTGCGTACACCGACTTCGTATACTACTATGAGTTTTGTAGAGTACGCGAAAAGGCGAATCTTGTGGTGAGATTAGCTACTCTGTTCAGATAAGCAAATGAACAAACAGAAAAACTGCACCAAACCCAGTGGGGAAGGGATTCACATGCATAGTACAAACGCCATGTTTCTTGAAAATCCTATAATCTCTCTCTCTCTCTCTCTCTCTCTCTCTGTACTATGTTATCTTTGTAGTATGATATATAATTATATATAAAATTGCTTGCTAGTTGAATCAAAGATTGAATCTTTAGCAACAGCCAAAAAAAAGTCGAGGTAGTTGGAAATTGTGAACCAGACGGTCGCGGTACATTCAATTGGAGTTTTTTTGTTGTAACTAACTTATAATTTTTGTTCTATATGTTTAACTATTTTATTCTCTTCGAATTGTGTTTTTATTTTCGTCTCGTATGTTTGCGAAAGGGTTATAAAAAGGTATTTTTCAAATTGTTAGTGTTATATACTGAAATCTTGGTTTTGAATAATATTACACTTTTACCCTTTTATTAATGAGAAACATGTTAGATTAAACAAGTTCTACGTTATGTTGTTTTGCATTAGATAGTGTGGGTCGTCATCGGGCGAACCGAAGATCATACTAGCAGTTACTCGCGAAACAAGAATAAGTGGTTCACAACCCAGATGGACATGAATACCCCATCGTGAACGGTTGTAATGTCAACTGTACCGTTTGTCTTGACTGATTAGCTGCACTAGTACATTTATGTATTGAACAGGATCCTAGAGAGGAGCAATTCATTTTACTGATCGTCATAAATGAACTAGGTCTCAGTTAATTACTGCGTACTCTTAACCCGTAAGATATTAAACAGGCATATATGTGTAGTATTTATTACTTTGATTCACATGGGTGAGGCTTAGTGAACTGGGCCAATAGACCCGCTGTCTTGAGTAATATTGCTACATGTAGGATGTGTTGTTAGGGTATTTACGGTCACCATGGCGTTAGTTTGATGATGTCCCCGGAGTGAGTTCATGAAGGATTATTATGTTAAACTCTGCAGATGGATTAAATTCCGGCATAGTAATAATGTGATGAACGAGCGCTAGCTTCGGTGAAATAATAATAAATTAAATAATTCTTGATTGGCAGTAATCGAATTAATTAATGGACATTATATCTTAAACATGGGGAGATAAATCGAGTAATTATTATTGGAGTCTCAATTGTAAATTGAGCTAGGAAAATGGAGTGCAATAATATTATGTTGGTGGCCCATTTAATATTATTTAATTAATTAAAATAAGTGGCTTAGTCTACAAATATTTTAATTAATTAAGGAGCTCTAATCCTAATCTCCTAAGGATCCCTACTGTAGCTCTATATATACATCATTAAACTCATGGGAAGAGAAGAGAATCCCACATCTTGTGAAATCACGCCCCACCGGTTCCCATTCGAGGCTTTATCAGTTCCCATTCGAGGCTTTATCTTCTTCTTGTTGTTCCACCGGTACAAGATTAAGCGGTGTTTGAGATATACAGTAGAAGATCTTTGGGTAAAGCGAGACAAAATATATTTTGTCGTACAGAACTAACCAGAGGTCCGATCAAGACGTGCAGCATACCCACACGACCGTCTCGACTAGAGATTTCCAACGCCGCCGAGACCGCAGCCGTCCGACCACCCACGCGCCCGCACGCGCCGCCGCAAGGCCCCAGGACTACAACTTTGCCTTCTTCCCTTTGCACCTGTTTGATTCGGTTCTCGATCCGATCTTGTTCGTGCAACCCTAGAACGCGATTTTCAGTCAACAATTCATTGGTGTGCTGTGTACGGCCATCCAGAAGATCAGCCAGATCGCCATAAATTTTAAGCCGTAAGTTCTCTATGCAAACCTTTAGATCCGTTGCGTATAGGTTTATGTTTTGCTATTGAATTCGTGATTTGTGCATAACGAGATCCTCATAGATAAGGTTATAAAAAGGTCTTTTTCAAACATAAGGGACGAAATTGAAATATTTGTTTGCAAAACATAAAGAACATTTTTGTTGAAAATGACTTTTTTTGTCACAGTTTTACAAATATACGGGACGAAAATAAAAAACGCAATTAGAAAGGACGAAAAAGATTAGGTACTGAAACACAAGTGTTAAAATTACAATTTACTCTTTCTATTTCAAAAGGAATTGTCAATTTTGATGTAGTTATTGGGAAAAGTTTCTTTCTTGTAGTACATTATGAATAAAGTTTATACACGGCTAAGGCTTTCCATTATTATAAAAAGCCGTAGTGAACTTAAATTTTAAGTAATGTTAACACTTTTTTATTTGTTTTTTTTTCATAGATATAGCAATCTTATTGCATATTAAAATATAAGACAATTATATTTATTTTTTAAATACAAAGAAAAGATAGATTATCAATCAATTGTACTTGAAATAAAATTTAAAAATAAATTATTCTTATTGCATTCATAAAATACAAAATAATTATATTTAATATTTATAAACAAAAAATAGATTATCAATCAATTGTACTTGAAAGAAAAATTAAAAAAAAAATTATTCTTATTGCATACATAAAATACAAAATAATTATATTTAATTTTATAAACAAAAAAATAGATAAATTGTACTTGAAATCTATATACATATAAAAAGGCTTGGTATTTACTTAAAATAGAAGTAGAAATCCCGCCTAAATAATTCGTTTTTACCTTTATTAGTAATTTTTTAAAATATTTTAAAAAGTGGAGCCAATAATTTGAATTTCGAATTAAAAAAATCAATTTATTAGTGTACAAAATCTTCTGGTGAAAAATTTACGGCTGTTACCATGTAAACAATGCAAATATTTAGGTAAGTATTTCAATTTTAATTC